GTGGCCACCAGTGAAAAGAGGCCAGCACCATCCTCCTCACTGCCTCCCTTGAGGTACTTAGACACGGATTAGATCCCTTCTCAGCCTTCTCTTCTCCAGGCTGAACAGGCCTAGCTCCCTCAGCCTCTCCTCATAGGGCAGATGTTCCAGGCCCCTGATCATCCTTGTAGCCCTGCGCTGGACTCTCTCCAGCAGCTCCACATCCCTCTTGTACTGTGGAGCCCAGAACTGGACACAGTACTCCAGATGTGGCCTCACCAGGGCTGAGCAGAGGGGCAGGATCACCTCCCTCGATCTGCTGGAGACAGTTCTCAAACACTGTCTTAATCAAGATGGAATTAACTTTTTTTTTTCCCTCTCCTACTCTGTAAATTCAAGGTGGTGTTCTGCATATCTTTGGAATAACTTCACCGAGACATGTAAAGTCCAGAAGCGAGTGCCTTTTGTCTTACCACAATAGGCAATAGAATTTCTCTGAAAGACTGGAAAAATCTAGTCTACTGAAATAACCTTTGTTCAGCTCCTTCCTTTTCATAAAAGATACATCTAAAAATACAATGCTATGGTATGTAATTTGGGCGAGTTCTAGCTGGATACTGGCAGTTCCTTAGAACATGGTCCAATTAAAATGTCCCCTGCACTTACACATCCCATTGCCAAAAATTTCTTGTGCTTTAAATTTTTATGCATCATGTAAATGTTTGTGATCAGTGACATCTTCTAATTGTGCTTCTTGAGTGGATGTTAGCTTGTCCAATGCTTGGAATCCAGAAATGGTAGAAATCAACAGTCTCAAGCTATCACTGCACGCACAGACATGATTAGCCACACATCTATTAATCCTGTGGAAAGAGAATGTTACATTCCTGTTTCAGAGAATGCAGTAAAAATGAGTGAGATATGCTGGAAAATCTAATGGCATTTGCCTGATGTTTCTTAACTGACAGAGACACACTCAGTTCTGACAACCTAATAATTTTGATGACACTGTGATAGCTTCTTGAGCATGAAAAAACTGTTGTTCTCATACAGCGACAATGAAAAGGTGCTGGGTTTTAAGGCCACTGTAACTTTGTCAATGAACCAAGCCTCAAATCTTTACAGAAGCGATTTTGCATTTACTGCCCAGGAAAATGACTGCTTTGAGCATAGGTCCAACTTCACCCCGGCTCAGAAAGTCTTCGTCTCATGCCGATAGAAATGGTTTTCCCTTCAGGCAGAAGGAAACAGCCGTGATCCAGTTAGCGAGCCCAGCAGATCAGTGACCCTAATGCGGTACCTCATGGGGAGTTTTTTTTGTTTCCAAGCATGAGCACCTCGGCCCTGCTCTAACCCTGGCCTTTGCAGTCCATTCAAAAACCAATTTTCCTGGGTCTCTCCTCATCTAAACTGCAGAACGGTCAAATCCAAGGTTTTGCAGCTTTTAGCCCTTTGCTAGTAATGAGTTTCACACCTCCATAAAAGCTCCAGCCAAGTAGGATCTAGCTGCACTTTGAAGTCACTGCAGAGTCCCTCTCTCATTCAGGCATTGTCGGCAGCACAAAAGCAGCGTTTCAACAGTTGTCTTCCAAATGAATCCTTACTTTAAGAAACAGCATTCCATTACATGTTTTAATACAGTTACTTTTTTCTCTATCTGTATCGAATAGCTTGAGTTCAACTGAAATCTTGTCCTCTGTTATAAAAAGCTTTCGATAGCATTTCTCTTTGCCTAGCCAGAAATTAGCAGTGGGGAGGGGAAGAGTTTTGCAGAGCCTCCCCTAAAACGTGTGGTTGTACAGAATGGGCTGCCTGTAAAAAGCCTTCCAGATCCTTCTGGTTCTCACCCTGCACGTTCCTGGGCCGTGAATGATGTGTCACAAAATAAGTGTGACCTGTCACTTACACTTGCTTTTCCCTGTCTTCTTAGGGGTATTT